TAAGTCTGATCATTGGCTGTGTTCCCAGGTTTGCTTCCATCTGTTGATAAGAAATGGAGGTGGGAGGATATGCCACATTTGATAGAAAGCTCTAAAGCAAAGGCTTGCCTATAAAGATCCCTGAGGTATCTCTGATCACTCCAACCTTTCACCATCATCATCTATAGTCTACGTCTCCCCCTCTCTCTTTTGCTGACAATGTTGCTGTGAGAAACAACTCTGATTTGAAGGTACTAAAGGGCTTTACTCAAGATGGATGCTAGCGTCTTCTTGGAGTGAGTAGCTCAGCATCAGTACACATTACTGAAGAAGTCAGAAGCAAAGAGGGCCATCTTGGCATTTCTTAATTCCTCCATCAAATCTTTCAGGACCACACAAAGGAACATTCCTCCCCCATGCACTGGAAATTGAAATAGCAATTCCCTATGGGCAAAGTTCATGCTTGCATATTGCTGAGCATTTTGAACATACTGGGGTTCTCACCTGGAGAGTTCTGATGACGTATGCTGGATATCAGAGAGAACAGGATGTTTTTTTTTACCAAGCAGGTGGGGCTGGTGTGCCTCATTACCTCCACTGATAACAAGTCCTGACTGCAGCTCTTCTTTCCTATTTATGAGGTGACAAGGCGAGTTCTGATTGTGCCCTCCCTGGAAGGCATGATGGGAGACAGGACTGCTACACCAGCATGAGTTTTGTTGCGCTACAGTAAAAAGCTGGTGTGAGTTCTCCAAGAAGGTTTACGATGAGGAGATCCATGGCTGCAAATTCTACCTGTCAGATGTACTCCACTGTGCATGGCACATTCCTGATATTTTCTTTGAATATTTCCTCCATCTCCCTCATACACATTTTCCTTCAGCTCAGTACCTACATTCTGGAACCACTTCAGAAGAACATGGTTCATGAAATACCTCTTAGAGAGCCATGCCTGGAACTAGACTGAGGAGGCAAATGTCAGAAACATTGCCAAAAGCGTCTAATCTTTCCCAGGAGGCTGGCTGCAAATATACAGTAGAAGTCACACACCTGTAGAGGATGCAGTGATTTCTGATCATTATTCATGTGTGCCATGTGAAATGTTCAGAAGGGGAAATGATCTCAGCCACTGCCCCCCAAAAATTCCAGTGTTTCTACAGGAGAGAGAGGGAAATGGCAAGGGAGGAGATGTGGAATTTTGTCAGGCTCTGGTATGAAATCCCATTCTTTTCAAGACAGGTAATAAACAGCACATGGGTGGTATTCTAGTATAGACAACACCTGCTGCTAATATTACCTGATTGATTCACTTGAATGCTTAGAATGAAAATACACCAAATCTAAAATTCTAAATATATAATCAGAGTTTAATAACATCATTGGTTTATTTTCTGGATTATGAATTACGGGGGGGGGGGGGGGGGGCGCGCCGGGTCACCTCTGTTCCAAAATTTGTTGACCTGTCAGAACTAAAATAAACAAAGCAACCAGAAAAGATCACTTATAGAGAAAGGAATAACCTGATGGACACACGGCCTAATTTATTGTGGGAGAAGGCAAAACACCAGACTCCTGTAGTTAGACCAGTGGTTCAGTCCAGAATTTCCAGTTCTTCTTTTCTGGTTGCCCTAGAGCATTCATTTGAGTGGTTTGTGGCACAGTTAGTATTTGCAGAGCACTCCCAGTGTTAACAGTGCTACACAGTATCAACACTAGATAATGATTTTGGCAAACTATCTTTTGCCAATCAGTGGAACAAGGGACAGACCAGTTTGGAGAAAATACGAACCAACTTTCACCCTGGAACACAAAAATCAGAACCTTTAAGAAGAGATTTGAAAAAAGTTCCATTAACTTCTTTTTGGTTTGTTTTCGGCTTAATTTCCCTGCAGAGCCACCCTCCAGGTTTCTTTGTTCCAGGTGGGGAGGGACGTAAAGTACTGAAATAACCACCAATGAGATTAGCTGCCCTTGCCAGCTGTCAAGCTCCCCCCCCCCAAGCCCTTAGGAAATAACCAGAAATTCTCACGAGCTTTCCCAGGTCCAAGATTTCTAAACCAACGTAGCATTGGAGAAGTCTCTTAATGTCAAGTGATGGTCCAACCTGAGCGGCCAACTTGATGGTTCACCCCACCACTACCAAGACAGCGTAGTGCCTTGAGGCTCAAACTCCACAGAGAGATGCTGGTACAGAGAGTTTATATGCAAAAAGGAATCGGGGGTGTTCCCATCAAAACATGAAACCCTGCTGGCAAGGCTTGAAGTGACGTTCCGGCGTCTTCCATTCATGAAGGTAAGGTGACAGGGCGATACGGGGGGCCTAGGGGTACACAACACACGTGTTTTTTTTCCTCTCTCTCTCTCTCTCTCTCTCTCTTCCTCATTCACACGGCCTCGACCCGCGTAAACCGCTTCCAAAAACGCAGCCTGAAAAGTCGTAGAAAACAAACAGAACAGAAACAAACTCCCCTCCCTCCCACCCCACGACCTGAATATTCACGAGAAGAGAAACACCAATTTATACAAAAACGCAATAAAAAAGAAATATTTACAAATGAAAGGAACGCCTTCTTGGTGGCTGCTGTCAGAGGCATCTGACAAGCTGCCATGTATTCTGGATTGCAGATCGCTCTGTTAATTTGTTTGGTTTCTTTCTTTTTTTTTTTTTTTTTTTTTTTTTTTTTTTTTTTTTTTTTTCTTTTTGTTCTTGTAATGAGAGAAGAGGGAAAGAATAAGAAATTCCATTACCCCAAAGACTAAGGGGTGGCATTACAAAGACTCTCCCCCTCTTCCCTCCTCAATTTCCTCAGTGAAATCTAAGAAAATGTTCCCTTCACAGACTTTGCCCACCCTCTCTTCACACTCTTTGACTTTACAGGCAAATCCCACCCTCCCCTCACCCCAGCTCTAAAAAATAAATAAAATAAATAGGCAAATAAATAAAAGGCCTTCTGTTGGCTTAAAAAGAGAAAGATAAGATAAAATCAACCAGGGTGCGGTGAGGAATGCGAGCGAGGTGGCTTTCAGCTCCAAGATGCTCATAAAGGGACTGCCATCTCCATTCAGTCAGTCCCCAGGAGTGTCCCCATGCCCTCAGCACAGGGTTCTCTCAACCCTCTCCTTGGCGAGCCATGGTAATTGTGACACTGGGACAGACTCAGAAGAAACAGAAGAGACTCTGCCACATCTCTCAAGGTGAGAGAGGTTGGCCCATACCCCACCTCAGGAAAAAGAAGACATATGAAGAGGGAGTTCAACTTCTCACTCCTACCATTGCTCCCTTTCCATTAAGTTTAACTTGCATCTAAAATGATACAGTGGAAAGAAAAAACACTCCTATCGATACTATGTGCACCAGGAAAGCTGTCACTACAACTGCAGGGATGGGAAACCCTAGGCTATTCCAGCTTTGCACTTGTGCTAGTATCTCTGTCACACACTGAGGCACACGTACATGTACACACACATCTCAGCCTTGCACGTCTTGTCTTCAGCCCTCAGCACACGTTCCTGTGCTCTCTGGCATTTATTCAAGCACACCCATTGCCAGGAAGACAAACTATGTACTTCCCTTGTACATTCAATAGTAAATATACATATGTATTTCCCATGGGTGCAAACACCCTCTTTCCATTTCCACATGTCCAAGGAGGCATCAAGACAGTCCACCAACACCACTGCCACCACATGCACCTTTTCATGTTTTTTTTGTTTGTTTGTTTTCTTCCTCTCCAGCACCATGCCACCATTGGCAGAGGACACCCCGTTCCTTTTCTTCCATCCTGCTGGCCAAGGGTGGGGAGGGCAGAAGGATGAAAATGTTTCTTGTCCTGCTCTCCCTGCTAAAAAACATGCCAAAACAGGCTTGGTGTCCTCTGAAGGGACAGTGACAAAACTCCCCACCTTTCCCTACTCTTTAGCTCTTTTCCACTGTGTGTTATCCAGACACCTTATAGGATTGTGAGTTTATTTTGCTTTCTCCACAGACATTTCAAGTATAAATTCATTGTATATACTCACGTATAGGCTAACCCATACTAAATACTGCTCCCACCCTTAAAGTAAACCACAATTAGTGATCAATTCATTGCTAAAAAACCAACTCTGCTTCCCTTTTCCAAAATTCCTTTCATTTCAGTGCAAAACAGCATCCTGTCAGAGCTCCCAGAAGCCCCCCTGATTCAAGGGTTGCTCTCCGAGACCCAAAACCCATTTCCTTTCCAACTCTCCCACTGGTCTGTCACAGATTCAAGGGCTGTAATAGCCACAGTGAAACCACTCACCAGACCTGCAAACAAGCCTTCTCTCCCTCCCCCCACACCTCCCAGCAAACAATTCAAAATGTCAGCGTAAAATTCTCAGCGTATACGCAAATATATATATATATATATATTTCAGCCCTAAACCCCCATAATCTTCACAAAATAATGTAACAAGAACCTCAGTATACCTAACATATAAGTGCATCATCAAGTTAGTCATGTTATTCCTCCTTCACTTTCTCCACATCTTCAAACATCACTCTTTTCTAGGCAGTTTTAGGAAGAGTTGCCTGAACAAGCATATTTTCCTGCATGTCCATTACACTTCTTCTGCTGTCTCCTCCTGCCATATGTGTGCATGCACATGCCTTTCTCTGCTGGGAGTCAGCAAGAGTGAAATGCTAGAATCACTATTGCTCCCCCTCAACTCACCCCTTCCCTGCCTTCTTCTCCCCCTCGTGAAATCACGAATGAGGATATCCAACTCCAACGTCACTGTAAAGTGCAATGGCCAGGAATGAAGGAGAATGGGAGGAGAGAGAACATGGAAAAAGAGATAAAAGGGGAGGAGTGGGAAAGAGGAGGAGGAAGAGGGGAAACCAAAGAGGTGGCACTTGTCACCAATGCTGTACTACTCGGAACTCCAGTATCCCACAAACTAAGGATGACCAGGGAGAGTAGCTGATGGGATTGATCCCACCCCACCCTCCCTTGCTCCACATCCACCCCCAGTCCCTCCCCATGCTCCTTCCCTCTCACTCAAACGTCAGACTCAATACTGGAGAGTTTCTCATAAACATGCCCGTTGCTGGAGCCATTGAAAGCCCTGGGGTTTTTGTTGTTAGGCACACAGGGGTTGGACTGGTTCCCTATACAGATGTCCTTCTGGAAACGGGCTGGCACAGCCCCATGAAGGGCTGAGACCACCGGCTTGTTGGTGGTGACGATGGCTCGGAAGTCTGGCCTGGCTTTGGGCCCTCCTGCCACCACAGGCTGCCTGAAGAAATAAGATTTGCTGCCGTGGAGCAAGCATTGGTCATCCCCAAAAGTGGGGATGAAAGGGTTTTGGGTGACCCTGTCAGGGTAGAGCGACTTGCTGAGCATGTATCCCCCGCTGCTGCCAGGGTTGTTGTGGTGGTGGTAGCTGGTGGCGGGCACTGAGGACTTGTTGTTGGCAAAGGTGGTCTCACTGGCTGGCATCTCAAACATGTGGGCGTAGGGGCTCCCCTCCAAAAAGCGACCCTTGTCCTTGAGGCTGACGCTGCGAGGGGCCAGGGCCGAGTCATCCTTTTGCAGGTCCACAAAGGTGTCATAGGAGTGTTGCCGGCGGAGCTTGTTACGGTTCTTCTTCTGCACCTTGGAGGCAGAATTGGAAGGGCTCTGAGGATATTTGGAGGAGGAGGTGGCACTGGTGGCCACGGGCACAGGGGCAGGTGGCTGGTCCAGCTCTTGGAGAGAGTTGTCCTCACTGATGTCATACAGGTTGCCTGCTTTCTTGCAGGCCTCACACCGGATGCAGGCCTGGCGAGTGGAATTCTGCCCCACCACCGATGGAGTGTAGTTGTGCACCTTAGAAGGGCAGCTGCGGCAGAAATTAGCCCCAGACCGGTCCTCCCAGTCTAGGTTGGTCAGATTCTTCTCCCAGGGCGCCGGGACCCCACTCACAACACCATGCTTGTGCTCATTGCTTCCGCCAAACTCACCCGAACCGTGCTTATGGTGGGCTCTGTTTGTGCAGGATCCACTTCCTCCTCCTCCCGTGTCCCGCTTAAACTCATCTCCACGCTCTTTGTAGATATCTGTCAGGTCCACATGCTCCCAGTGTGGTGAGTTTTCCTTGGCCCGAAACTGGTCCAGGTAGAAGTCCCGTAGCCCTTCCTTGTCCCTGAAGTAGCGTTTGTGGTCAGGCGAGCGGGGTGGGCGCCGGCGGTAAGCCAACTCTATCTCATCGAACTCCCGCCGGGACTTGGCAGAGGCTGGACGTTTCTTCAGGCTGTCCTTGTACTGCTGCTTCCGCCGCTTAGCTGCGTTGCCTTCAATGTTGCCGTAGGTGACCGTGTGAGTGGAAATGTCAGAGACGTCTGAGCGGATCAGGTCATCGTGGGCTCCACTGCCCCCATAGCGGTCGCTCTTGAAGGAGAACTTGCCATAGAGGTCACCCAGCTGGCTGTGCTTGGCAGGGGGCAACCCCAGATCCAAGGGCTTCTTCCCGATGGACCGTGACTGGGCGTTGAAAGGTGGGTTGTCACAGTCGTAGAGCCCATCGATGGAGCTGGTGCTTCCGATGCTGTGGGGACGGTGGTGGTGGTGGTAGTGGTCCTGATATACATTGCTGTCCTTCAACTGTAGGTTGCCAAAGGTCCTCTCCACCTCACTAATGTAGTCACTAAATAGATTCTCCTCACATGGGGGGTTGTTGTAGGACTTGCAGTCTGAGTGGGTGAAGCTGCGGCGGTGTTCAGAAATATCATAAACTGATGATTCGCGGCGGATGAAGTCCAGGGCACTCTGTGGTGAGCCATTGACCCCTGATAGGTTGGCCATGTTCTTGGCTGTCCGAAGCAGGCGTAGGATGTTGGAATGGGTGTTGTTCATAGTCGCTGTGGGGGAGTTCATTGCTGACTGGCGTTCCTCAATGGCCACACCATGAATGCAGCTGTAGATACCCTGAAATAAGAGAAAGCATGAAGTTGAGTGGTCTTGCAATGAATACACAAAAGGAAATGTAGGCTGGAAAGCACCCTATGCAGCAATAGCACATTCCTATAAGGCAGAAAAGACTGTCAGACTTCCATGTGATACACAAGCAAATGAGATGAAGCCAGACCTGTCCCACCAACCCTAACTCTTCTGCCACTCTTTCTTACCCTCACATTTTTTCTTTCCCCTCTATTTATCCTCCTTTTTTTCATATCATATCTGAGGAATGCAGAAATAACTGGTAGCATCCATAAGAGTTACTCAAATTTACTAGGTATAACATAGAATTGCAAATGGAGAAAATAATATCCTTGGAAGTGAAAACATCAAGACAAAGGATTCTGCGTGGATGAGAGAAAGGTCTGTTTTTCCCCTTGAAATTCATCTGGACATCAGTGAATCAACATGACAGGAAGTATCGTAAAAAGAGAACAGCTTCATTTGTCATAAACTTAGCTACATTAATCACCAGTACAGATTAGAAAGGAAACAGAGAGTGTAGAACTGATGAACAGGTATTTAGTCCTTTTGCATTTCGTTGAGTATGGTACAATAGAATATTTAATTGCATCCTATTGAATTTAGCAGTGATAACAGGCTCCAAATTGACATCCCTGAAAGTGAAAGTCCTCTATTCAACCTCAAATCAGACAGCAGACGTGCCTGATTCCTCCACATTCTCCACTAGCTCATTTCATCCATGGTAAGACTGTTTGCAAGGATTACCCCAAGGAGCAGAAGGAAAGAGTTTCATTTATTCCCATTTATTCCTACCAAAAGGAGCATGCTGATTAATGTCAATAGTGAAATGGACACCACCACATCATGTTACCATGTTTTTTCAGCAGCCAGCAGTTGATTAACTTTTTTCAGACTTTCCACCAACCTGGGCCAGGTCTAACAGACAACTCCAGACTGAAAAGATTTGTATTCAGTTAACAATCACCAAATACAGTCCCCTACCTCATCTCCAGACTAAAGCAGGTTAAAAACTAATGACAAAGAAGAGAGATTGTGTCCCAACACTCAAAGGCTTTGTCATTTTGTCTCAACAGTATGTTATACTGCAATTATATAGTCCTTGTACAATCAAAGTTAACTCTGTTACAAGAGATACTGAGGTCAAAAATGTTGAGATTTGACCTCACTTCAGAAGAGATTAAGAGGTCAGACCAGTAACAGAAAGAAGAAAGAGAAGTTCCAAATGGGACACTGCTATCTACAATAATAGCAGGAAGATGACTCAGAAATTACTAGAATCTACTTGAAATGTAAATACTATCCCCTAAGGCAGATTTGCATAGAGAAATTGCTAAGTTCATGTGGTCATCCTCTCTAGAAGGATTTCTGCATGGCTTAGTGCAGGGCTTGTGGTTACAGATTTCTGAACGTCCATGATAGAACAAATCCAGTAAACACATAGACAGATGTAACACAGAAGACAATGAGAAACTCCTGAATTTCTAGCCATGTTAAACAACATTACTTATTGTCCCCAGAGCTGGCCTGCTTACAACTCACTGAGAAGGAGGAGACTATTACAAATCGCTTCTTTCCATACTGCATTTTCAGTTCCATATGAAATTACCATTTCCATGACCACAATGAGGCAGAGACCAGAGATGACAGAAGAACAGTAAATGCTCTTGCTACATTAACACAGGAAAGGCAGCAGGCTTCACACTGCAGATCATCTCTCTGTAATACCTGTGTGTTTGACAGTCTGGGTGGATTTCCCCATCGACAATACCTGCAACCACCTGAATAAATTCTGACTGACCTTTTTTCTCTCCGCTAGCTAACAAAACTTACCCTACTGATGGAGAAAACCACGCCAGGCTTGCCAGAGCAGACACCCATGAAGCAGTGGCGGAACTGCCAGTAGAAGAGATGTTCACAGATGAAGGTGATGAGACTGAGGGCCATAGCTGCTCCCAGCATGTAGAAGACACCTGCCATGTTATCTATATCCAACTGGCTGCTCATAACCTCATTCTTCTCATTGTGACAAATGCCAGTGAGCCACAGTGCTTCCAGCTCCTCCATCTCCCCTTTAAAGACAGAGAAAAAAAAAACATGTTAGCCAGCACTGCAATCATAGTATCATAGAAGGGCTTGGGTTGGAAGGGATCTTTAAGACCATCCTGTTCCAACCCCCCTGCTATAGGCAGGGACACCCCCCCAACTAGATGAGGTTGCTCAAAGCTCTATCCAGTCTGGCCTTGAATGCCTCCAGGGAGGGGGCATCCACAACCTCGCTGGGCAACCTACTCCTGTGTCTCACCACCCTCACAGTAAAGAATTTCTTCCTAATATCTGCCTATGGATCTCATGCTGAGGTAGTCTGAAAACAAGAAGCATATCAGACTGTTCTTGTAATAGGGATAGATGCAATTAGTCACAGGGAAGGCAATAGGATTTTTGCACAGACAGATGTTAGGCACAAAAATCTGTACTGTACAACACAACCATCTACAGCTATTTACTATAATTTCCTGAACAACAAGCTGTCCACCACATAACTGAAGACCTCAGCTCACAAACTTGCACTTTCATAGTAAGTCAACAAAGGGAAAATTAGCGACTGATACTGATAAACAGAAATGAGTCATTTTCAAATGAAAACACTGCCAGCATAAAATTCAAAATGCTGATTTTTTTTTTTACATCAAAATGTCTGATTTTTTAATTTGTTTCCATCATATCTACAGCTCATTAAAGTGAGGTGCAATGTTCCCTAAAATATTTTTGCATTTTTACCTGCTTTTCTTCCTTTCAATTTTGTCCAAATGTGACAATTCCAAGCCCTCTGACCAATGAAAAATATTACTAATTTGTATTGGCTACAAACAAATGTTCAGTAGTCTAATTTCATACCCCACTTCCTCTCATTATGGTATTTTCAGGAGAAGAAAGCCACACACATACATATGCACATACTGAGACATCCAGAAACAAACTAATTTTACAGGTTGGCAATTCTTTTCACGCTGCTAGGGAAGTTACTATTTCATATTTTCAGCATTCAATCTGATGGCAGGGAAAAAAAATCCATATGCTTATATGGCATCACAGCACATTCTTAAAAGCGTTATGGAGATCTTATGTTTTGTTCTGAAACAACACTTATTAGGCTATTCAGGAGACAAAGCACCCTAACTGTCAGGTGGCCAATATTCTGATGAAGCGTATCAGAGCTTTGTTCTTTTCATATTTACTACGTCATATGTTATTTTCAGATTTCAAAAAAAAAAAAAAAAGCTTATAAATAAAATTGCCTGAGAATTTTACTTTTTTTTTTTTTTTTTAAAGAACTCAGGAAAGTGTAATATATAGCATAGAAAGAGAAAACTGGGAAAATGTTTTCTAAAAAGAATTTCTTGCTCCATGAGTATCTTTTTTGATAACAACTCTTTCTCTGTTACCGACAAGATAAATGAGGTAACTATAATGTTCTGATTAAAAACTTCAGAGTCTCAAATTCTTCCTTGCTTGTTTGGTTGTTGGTTGGTTTATGAGATTTAGGGGAATATGAATTAATTTTTTTCATCCAGATACAATCAGCTTTTTTTTTTCTCTACACTCTGCATAGGTTGATCCTGTCTAGAATTAAGTATGAGGCAACAATGGAAAGCCCAGCATTGTTTGTGGGTTTGGTCATGGCAAAACTCCTAAGGTAGCGAAAAGTTCACAAAACAAAACTTGATTTCACACAACATTCTTCTCACAAGATACTGCTCATACACACATCTGAGCTGATTGTATGAAACCACTAATGCCTTTGAAATTGCTTTTGATGATATCCTGCATCAACAGTATAGAACAGGTGACATTCTGCACATTTCTGGCACAACATCTCGAACAAACCCTTTTGATAATTTCCTGTTCTCAATGTGGATCTGAAACACCAGCTAGGGAGATGGAACATTATTCTGTACATGCAAAACTTATTATTTCTTAGGAAAATTCCACCTCTTCTTTTTCTTGTCACTTACCATCTCCAAAAAGCTGTAGAATAGCAAGATCAACCTGGCGCTTCCAACCTGAGTCCTTCTGTATGGCAATTCCATAGCCAGTGGAGGCGAACACTTTCCCACTCCCAATTGTCACCAATTTGCAGCCTTCATCTCTGCCAGCCATGTAATTCAGCACTGCTGCATCATAAATGAAAGCATCCAACTTCCTGCACAGGTGCAAGAAACAAGAAGTGTATAGCACAGAGAAGATACAATCTGTATGAGTGCAAAGGTGTTCTCTGATAATTAAGGCAGAAATTAACCTCTTCCAGATAGAGTTCAATAGGTTGCATCTTCACTTCCTTCAGAGTTAACTAAAATCTGATCCTAGAATCTGTTTACAGGTGAAACTAGATTATAAATGAGATCTGTCTATTTCTCTCTGACTCTTTCATAGTTGTCGTTTTTGTACTGAAAGGAAATCTGGAAGACAAACATAGTGCAAGATAAAAATGAATGAAGAAAAAGTCCAGGAGATCTATAGTCCTAAGAATAGCTTATGTTACTGCACTACCTTTCATCTGAAAAGAACCTAAAATACTTCATAAAATATATCAATATTAGACAGCGTAGCAAGGCTTGCAGTAAAGATTTTCACTAATTCAAAGTGCTGGAGTAAAATATATATTAATTTCAAATTAAATGTAGCCAGGCCACTGTAACTCCTTAGTTACTGTGAAAAGTGCTACCAGATCTTTACCAATGTCAAGTGGCCATGATAACAGCTTTATGGCTTACTGTGCTAAGTAGCTCTTTGGTAAAGACTACTTAGCTGAAAACCACAAAAAAGGGTCTGTTTCAACACAGTGAAATGCCCATTATAGGCTGGAATGGGCAGACAGCACAACAGACTGATGAGAACCTTCTTACCTCAACAAATTGATTTTGGGCTTAGGTGTAGTCTCAGGAGGCTGCATCTTCTATACAACCAGAGACAGCCAATGAGTAAATCCTCCCACTAGATCTGAAATGAAGCTCTTTCCAATAAAAGACTGAAGACCTTCTACTTACAAATTCTCACACCCACACTACCTTTTCAGTACGCCTCCTGAACATATACTGCCAGTATAGTGATTATCTCAGTTTAAGTGCATATCCATGGGGACGGCCATCCAAGGGTTGATACAAAGCCAGGATGACATACACCACAAGCGATGAGCTCTGTTTCATCTATATATTTCCAGAAGAAAGCATATTTATTTCCTGGATGATGACTACTGGCAAGTGTACCTCCCCAGGATGGCATCCAACAACGGTCCAATAATTTATAATGGGCTATGTGCCTCTGAACCTGGCAAACAGGTTTAGGAATAGTCAGTCAATCTAGTAATTAAATTGGCTGAACATCTTTGTTCGTGGTTTGGAATGAACTTTCTCACGACAGTGTGACGTTGTAAGTGATAAGGTGTTGTTTCATTTCACTAGGGCTGGGTTCTGACAACCACAGTGGGCATTTCTGGGAGGAGGCCTTTAATTATAAGGGACAAAGGCTTACAAAGACTAATAGAGGTTTTAAATTAGCTCCTCTACAAATTCATTGCTATTAAAATAGAGTGAGATGTTCAAAGATACTTTCTGCTAATGATTTTTCCCACATTTCCCAAATTACCCAAGGAGACGCTCCTATTTAATACACTTTCTTAATATTCAAACAGCAGCTTTGTCAGCTCTTGACACTAAAATATTCCAGAGAGAAGGACTACTTGCAAACTATTTGCTTCAAGCACACCTTCCATTACACTGTATTAGCTAGTGATACACTGGAGTGGGATTAGTCTGACAAGGATTCCTTCAGCTTCCTGATTAACATAATCTTTTACACACAGAAAGAAAGAAAATAAAGGAATTTCCAGATGACAATGCAAATGTTCTCAAAAAATCTTTGCCCATAGAGGACAATGAGCTCTTATTGTGCATACGTAAGGACGCATAAGCATGAAACAGCTTGCTGAAGCAAGGTGTTTGGGACTAATGCACATAATGCTAACATACATAAAGGTACAGGCGATCCTGTTGGTTTTGGGTTTTTTTCCCCCCAAATAGTTTTATAAGTATTGCAAAGCCAGAAACACATATACAGAAGTGAATAATAAGAAAAAAGGCTAAGGGACTCACAGAAATATTCTCCTGTGTTGTATGTGGTCTAGGTATACTTTTAATCATGCAGTGATAATGGATGCTCATTTTCCAAACCCCAGAAAGATTTCCCAATCACTCAAAGAAGTCAGCTAGTAAGTTTGGAAGAAGAAATCCTCACCCAGTCTTCAATGAGAATAGGGCATCATCCACTCCCCTCTGATTGAACTTCACCATGTAGCTGTGCATTTCAGGATAGTTGTTGCGAATGTTCCTTTCTGTGCTGCCATTGGGAACTGTCCCAAAGCGGAAAGGGGGTGAGAAATCATTGGGTTTCTGGAACTGCAGAAACAGAAAAAAAACATTTCTCACAATCATCCATCAAGAAACAGTCATCTGCATGGGAGAATACACTCTCTTTAGAGACCCTGTGCCAATTGCAACACAGAATGTAATTCTGATTTTATTTCACTATCAGATGGAACACATTATTGAAAAGATACCATATTTCACTGTTTTCAAAGACAAACATTTCCTGTTATTGTCCAAGAAGTAAAATGAGCAATCTGGTCTTTTGTCCACTGTGGATAAAGTACATACATGATCAAGAACTAAAAGGAGTTTAGATATAAGTAAAAACAAAAAGGAAAAAAAAAAAAAGGGTAACAACATCTTTGCAACATGGTCAAATAAAGCTTTTCAATAAAATCAATGTGAATTTTACCCACATAGTGTGATTTAGTTTCTAAGAAGTATCTATTTCCATTTTATTGACGCCTTTGCATTTCCTGATTCTGACTAAAGTAAAAAAGTAATTAATGAGGAGAGATGCCACTCCAAACAGCTCCCACCCCCTTCACCAAATAAAGGATCAGCTTTCAAACTTTTGGGCAAATGTCCCAAATGAAATTCTATTAGTGGTTACAAGTCACTAGTAACATTTGATGCCCAGAACAGAGCTGGCAGAATGCTCAAAACCTTTTGCTGCTCCCAAGAAATTCATTCATCATAACATTCTCCTACAGCTGCAAGGCTGTGAGATTTTATATGCCTCTTGCTTAACTCAAGTCATAATCAATGCTCTCTGGAGTTTTATGAGCAGTAAAATTTAGACTGTCAATTATCAAGACTGCTTAAAACCCCTAAAACCAGTAGATGGAAAGCGGCACAGAATTGTAAGCCAAGAACTGAATAGGCAGTAAAAGAAAAGATGCAAAGATCAGCTGGATGGAAGGCTCCCTCACCTCTTAATACATCAAACAGTGCTAGTTTGGGGCTCTCAAATGTGACCGTACATTTGGATAATCTTAAGAAGCATGCTAAGAACATGATATCAAGCCAAACCCATTTAACAGTAACAGTTCTCCTGCCACATCTATCATGCACTGCTGTCTTCTGTGGTGGAAATGTGGTTACCGTCTATAGCTATACCTTCAAAAGCAGTCAGGTCTAGCTATTAAGTTCTGCTCAAAGCTAGTCTGAAACCTGCTAAGGAGCAGCTGAGGACCCAGCTGAGGAGTCCAAAGCTACTAAAGCAGAGTACTCATTCGGAGCATTTCAGGAACAAGGTCAACAAGGACTTGTACCTGTGGGTAGGCTGACAGCACATTTCACATCACCAAAAGGAATTTATTGCATCTATTTCTCTAAATCAACTCATCAGCTATGCAGGGAATCACACCTCATATTCAGGTGGAGGGAATGGACTGGTTCATATGTACATATATGCGTGTGAGATAGAGTACATGCCCTGCTGCTTCAAGCTGGTAGGAAATATCAGATATGTTTTTTGAAACACAGATTGGCATATCACCAAAAAAAAAAGAGAGGTTTCATATAGCACAAAATAGGCAGTAAGGTGCCTCTTAGAAACTTGTCACACTCTCAAGGGATGAAGACAAATTCAAAGCTATCAAAACCTGTACTGAAAGCAAATTTTGATGGGAGAAAAATCACTGCAGCATTAAAAAAAAATTTCTTTCTCACCAAGCTGGTTATAGCAGCAGTTTAGGAGACCCATCACAAGCCATTCCAGGCTAAAGGAATACAGTTTCTCTCCTGACATGCTGAAACCGGAGCTTCCAAAGTGGGCAGCTTTTTTCATTAGAGGCTGCAGAACCCAAACTTTTGGGCAGAATAGGAAGCCCCCATCCACAAAGAGCCCTCCCCAGGGCCAGCAGGGCAAGCAGCAGGCAGGCCTGATAAATATTCAACTTCAGCAAGCCCTTTGGAAAGGCATCAGCTAGGAGAGCTTCTCTCGGGGCTCACAAAATACTAAGGGAAGGAGAGGCTACATCCAACAACCATTTTATGCCTTCTCCCTCCACCCCTAGTGATGAAATCTCTAGATTTGTCTGCTTCCAACACTGGCCATGAACTGGAGCAAAAAGGGACTACAGAGTCAGGCAGACCTGTGACAAGGAAAATAACCCCTCCTCTGAACCCTTCATTTTCCCCAAGTTCCAGGTCCCCCCATTAGCACCAGCCAGCCAGGAGTAAAATGTTCTGTATTTAATTTTTAACATTCTGGGCAAACAATAAATGAATGAAAACTTTCCTTTGAGGAAAAGGACTGTTTCTAGCAACTGGAAAAGCATGCTTCCAGAGAAAAAAAAGGCAGGTTGCTGACTTCTGCAAACCAATGCACTATACTGCACTGCATGTTAGCTTATCATTCCTCACTCCCTGTTAATTCCTCAGTCAGAACAGATCTGCAAATGCAAATTCTTCTTCACACACCCATATGTGCACATACTTTAACCACAGAGTTAACAAGACAGGGAACAGTTGGAGTGGATCCACATGGGACTCGCAACGGAGATCTTTAGCTTGCATGTCTAAGAGGAGCACACATACTCATCTTCAGCCTCCTGGGTTTGTGTTTGCAAAGTTTAAAAAAATTGATGCCTAAATGACTCCACAGTCCATGAAGCCAGAGATAAGCAGCTGTTTCTCCACATTTAAGGACTAATACTGGTACTGGCATACAACTGTCCATCAGGAAATAGTAGCTGAAAATTCCTTGTACTTACTGCTTGGCAGCACATGGGCACAGCTCAGACTAGAGATGGAAGAACTCTCCAGAGCCAGAAATGGCTGTGTCTTTCTGAGCTTTCTTATGCCCCACACAACTCATAGCAAAGGAGCAAGAAAAGCTGTAAACATGCCCATGAATGGGAAAACACAGGGATTGACGGGGAAGGTGTTCTCTCACTGAAATGAGGTGGAGGAATTTCTGTGTAAGAACTATTGAAGACGCATAATGAATAAGGTTAATTGCCACTGCTGTCAAAGAGTTTAGTAATGAAAGACATTCATACAGCTTTTGCAAAGGGCTGGGAGAGTGGGTCCAGCCCAAAGATGTCAGCCTCAGGAAGCAAGGACGCTTTGGCAGACTGGCCTAGGAGGAGTCTGAGAGATGTGAGACAGAAGCAGAGGCACAATGCAGGTGCTATTACACGGAGACAGTCAATGCAGAAGTAATCTGAAGGCTTCAGTAAATATTGATAAAGGAATTAACTGGAGATATTGACAGAAATGGTCTGAATTTAGATTAATGAGAGAGCTCTCACATCATTTCATGTAATCATTACCCCTGCCAGAGCCATAAGTCACAACTGCTTTGCCCTAGGCATCTGCAAACAGGAGCCACGTGAGGCTCTGGCAAAAAAAAAAAAAAAAAAAAAAAAAACAACCAGACAGAGGAAGGGAAGATAAGCAACTGCACTGATTGCTAAGCAAACATAGCTGCAGAGAGTCACAGGGAGGGGCAAGCAGGGTCTGCACACCTAGAAGCCTTACCTCATCTCTACCTGTTTCTACCTCCCTCGAGTGCACCTTGCTTGCAAGGAAACCTGAGGAGCTTGGCTGCAGCCCTGTACCCAAGGAATGCTGGCTGGAGGTGCACCCCAGCTGCAGCCTCCCATTTGCTCACCATGGGATCTCAGTTGTGAGATGCTCCCCTTATACACAAGGTGACGTGACAGTCTCTCAACCGTGAAAGAAGATCCCTGAGACAGCTGGCTTCACATCAAATTTAGCAGGGAGGTGGAAGCTGCAGATGGGTCCTTTCCCTGTCTGACCTGGGGGTGGGAAGCAGACACCAAGCATGCCTGAAGGGCAAGCCAGAAGGCAGCTTTGGGAGTGTCCTTGGAGGCTGCCCACCTCTTCAACCCCTCAGTCAATAAATTGAAATCAAGCAGGATTAAGCCCAAATCGGACGACAGCTTTGAAGAAGTTACCTCTCGGAGTCAGAAAGCAGAGATCTTACTGCTCTGGAGAGCAATAAACACACAGGCTGGGGGCTATTAGCACATCCTGAGTGGAGAGCCCCTTTCCTGCTCCCCCCGCATCTCTCCATGAGAGCTGTCAGCAGCAGCAGCGAGAGTGGGTTTAAGTGACTTGTCTGGCAGAGCTGTTTCATTAGCAATTTGGAGCCGTGCCGTGCAGAAAGCAGCATTGTTCTCAGATGTTCGAATATCAATCTGCATAATGAAACAGGTGATAGGAGCTCTTCCCATTCAGGCAGCCGGGATTGGAGAGCATTCAGGAATGAGGGGAAGGGGTTATGTCTAATTGGCCACAATTAATTTGATGAGAATTTTTTTTAAAGATTTTGTCTATCACCAAATGGCTCCTACAGAAAAGCACATCTGCACTTATTTATCTGCCTAATGTAGGCTCTGTTTACGCTGTAGAGTGTTTGCCAATAGCATTGAATGCAGATTCCCAAACTCAGCAGGTCTTACAGCAAAAAGGCTTTTTTATCACTTGATCTACTTTTATACTTTTTAACAAAAATAATTTCATGCTGCATAATATATGAGCATCTAAAATGTTGTATAAGTGAGTTTATGTGTAGTATCTTAGATATACACAGCTTCTTTGTGAAAGTTCCTTTCATTTTCTAAGGCCCAAACCTCAGTTTTCTACTGCTTGAAGCTCCAGCTCTCTAGAATAAGGTCCCCAGGTTCAGTTCTCTGTTGCCTGCTAGCCTAAAAGACCTTGGACCCACATTACATGCTGCCTAACCATTTGAAATGCCCTACAGAATTTCAACCTGCAAGCAGGTCCCCCATACCCCTGTACCAGGACCAACCACCTGAGGGGATTCTGGATACTCTAGTGCAGCTATATTGGCTCTGGACATCCACATCTGCACAAGTGAATCCAGCCACTAAACCATCTGGTCTCCAGGACAGTTCTGCCCACAAAAAGCATAGGTAGACAGAAGCTGTGGGTAGCATATGGTCTGAAGTGCCCACTACTCTCTTGAATTTGTCCATTGGGGTATCATTCAAAACTTTTTGCACAGGCACCTCTAAGCAGCAATCTACTTGCTA